GACGCGGTCTGCGGGCTCTCTGAAACTGTCACTTCAGTCTTGTTGCCGCAATGCAAGCTGCCGCGCAAACCTGCAGAATCGTCCTGAGGCTTTCTGTGAAAGGCCCCACCGACTTTGTGGAACTGAACAAGAGCCGCTCGATTCATAAAGCAGGGATTGCGCAGTAGATAGAGCATGGTATCCTCGTTTGGGGATACACCTCCCCTACCGGTCCGTCTTGGACGGAGGGTCTGGAGACAAGAGGCCACAGGTGCCTTACTCCGTGGCCATCACGCGTGCTTCCCTCAGCATCTCTTGGGCCGTCTCGTTTGCGTGCCTCAAAGCCTCTCAGCTGGCGCACGCGGCCCAATATCCCAATACTCTCCGCTTCCCTCTGCGGCCTCCCAGTTGTCCCTGCAGGCGCCATGAGCAGAAAGCTCCGCAGCTAGTGCGCGTCTCATCTCCTCGACTTCCGGCTTCCGGCTGGAGGGTCACGATTCAGCAGATGATTCAGCATGTGGCATGAACTTGGCCCCAGCCCCAGAGCTCCTTCCAGCGGACCTCGATCGTATCCAGTCGCTTCGCCATTTCCAAAAAGGGCTTTGCTCGCTTCTGCTTCAGCCAGCAGGACATGACAAAGTAAAAGGCCCAGCCTTCAATCCAAGGAACAACAAGCTCAACCAGAAGTACGCACGGGCGCGCGCGCGCTCGCGTCGCTCGAGCCTCCGATCGACAGGCAGCAGCAAACTAGTCCTGCTAGCACTGTAGCAGGGAAATTGCTGCACCCTGTGCCAGTGAAAGCAAGGGAACTGCTTTGCTTTGCTCTCCTGGAAGAAGGACGAGACCTGACTCGCCGTCCACCCACCACTCCAAGGAGTCGATGTCGTCCGTGACCTCGAACTCCCCAAAACCTCAGAGCAGGAGCCATGAGGGGAAGTACTTCTGCCGACTCCTTTCGCTGGGAGAAGCGCACATGGAGGACCTTCGCCAGCTGACGCTTGACGCTTGGAAGGAGGGCTTCCGGATGCGCGCTGTGCTCGCGCTGTGCTCGCGCCTCCAGTAGAACACCTGCCCCACCATCACCTTCCACACAATGCCAGGGCCAACAAGAGCAGCTTGGCTCCACTAAAGCTTATAGTGTGCCTGTATGAGTACTCCAAGGAGGGTCACAGCCCGGATCCAAGCGGGGACGTCCACCCACCTGAGATCACATGCCCACAGTTTTGCCATCACGGAGGACCAGGTCTGCTGAGCCCCGCGGCCTCAGCAAGAGCGATCGTGACATCTCTCGCCAGCGAAAGTCCAGCCAGTCCAGCTCCACGTTCTGCTCCAAGGGCTTCGTCAACTGACCGGGGGCGAAGCAAGCAAGAAATGCTTGGGCCGGAGATCATGCCGGCACCCGCCTCCCACTCCCGTTGGTCCAACTGCGTCTGTATGGCCCAGGCACCCATGATCTGAGCGGAGCGAAACTGGAGAGGGGGAGTTACTGGAGCATGCTGGCTTGGGGGCTTGGCCTGGAGCAGCATGCACAGGAACACCGAGGCCTCACGCGCGACTCTTGGCTCTCGTGAGTCCATCCGAAGGCCTAGGGTCCTGGCCGACATCATGAACGTGGCGGCACGGTCCCACAACTGCACAGAGCACTGGGACCCTGGGGTGCCGAGCCGTGCTAAAGGCACCTCACTCTCGTGCTGCTTCAAGTAGAAGGATCCCGAGAGGGAGCAGGCAGCCACGAAGAACACGATGGGTCTAAGCACAGGCATTGCGCAGTACGTTCCACTGCTGCGCTGACTCTAACGGACAACTGTGTGGTTGTGCGTCCCCTCCAAAAACCCGAAAGCCAAAACAACATTCGTCTTTGGCAGGCTTGGTCAGTGGCAGGGTTCCGAGCTCGCACTCCAAGAGCGACAGGTGCAGGATCCCCGCCAAGACGGAGGTGGGCCTGACTCTTTAGCAGTTCTTCTCGTTGCAGGGCATGCAGGGCTTCGGAAAGGCTGCAAGCTGCACCGCTTCTCGCTTTCAACAGACAGCTGATGAGAAGCTCCGGCTTTGGCTCTCGAGGCCGGCGCCAGTCCGGGCCTCCGCAGAGAATCGACACCTTGCCGCAACATGAAGAGACTCGGAGAAGCCGGGCTCCATCCAAAAAAAAAGTTGGAGGAAAAAGACATCGGGCAGGACACGGAAAGGGAGGATGGGAGTACAAAGAACAAAAGGCTTCCACTGCCTTTCCCATGCTCATGCCCGGCTCGCGGAGCACAGCCTGACGAACGGATTCGGTAGGATGATCACAGCAATTTCAACGATGCAGTTTATTCCACGCTGTTTCGTCGTTTTGGAAACGCCGCACAACAGCGGACACGGCAGACACTCCCACAGCCGAACGCATGACGTGTTTACCACTACTGCGAACAACTCCGTAGATACGGCATACGGTTCAACTGTTCTAGTGCGAAAGAGCCGAATCGTGTCTCCATACATGGTACGGGGTACACAGCTCTTTGTCACACCGTGACTTTTTTGAGTTTAACTAAAGCAGAAATGGGTAGTCCTCAAGCGTCCTGTTCCTCGTTTCCCTTCTGGGTCCTCTTTTTTTTCGGGAGTTTCTTAGATGGATTTTTCATCATGTTGCCGATTGTCTTCAAAACGTGGTGGGGTTTGTCACCTTCGCCTGTCGCCGAAGCTTCCCATGTCTTGATGTCCACGGTTCCAAGAAAGCCCACAGCGGCTCTCGGCCTGTCGCCGTCAAGGATTCTGCTGAGCCAGACACCGTAAGAACTATGGTTCGCCGTCCCCGCAATGATGCATGTGTCCTTTGTTGCTGTAGCTAGGATGATCCTCCCGTGGTCATTGGTTGGTGTGATGTTTCACAAACCATCAGTTTTCCCTGTTCGTGGCATGCGAGGCGACCGTGACGACTAAACTCATCGGACCGTCAGTCCCCTTGTTGATTTTGACCGTGCAGTTGGCAGCTTTGTTGGGTTTCCGTCGGCAACCGCACAATTGTCCGAGGCTGTTTGCGTATGTGATACCTTATACAAGATTTCATCAGTGCCTTGCCGGAGTATGTAAGCCAGCCGCGTCAACGGGGCTTGGGGCAATCGCCGTCCTCTTGCTGAAATCAGCAGATGGCAACCCGCCGGGTCACTTGATCCACGCTGTTGAGGCCGGGAAGCGACCGAGTCCACCGAACATGCCACTGGGCTCACCCATTTTGCCCAAGTCCTTCTTTTACTTGGTTCGCATGGTCGACTCAAGCGCCGTGTGGAGTACAGCCAACAGGATGCCGAACATTGCACGCAAATTAGTCATCTGCACAAACTACGGACGTTTGAGCTGTGCTCATTGTCCAAGTTAAGTGTGAGTAGATGATCCTTTCCGGGCTTTTTTTGTGGTAATCTACAGGTCGTCTTCCTCAACGATTGTGTCATCTTGTCCTTCTCCTTCGGACCTTGACTCCCATTGATAAGGAAAGGTCCGATCCTGCTTCGTCCGGGCAAGGATTCGGCGCAGGCCTCCCCTTCGGAGCTGTCGTCTCTGAAACCTCACTGGCAAGTTCCTTGCTGAGTGCTCCCAAGCCCACAATCGTCGCATGAGTAAAGTGCTTGCCGTTGGTGACATGAGCACTTGGCAGGGAGGAATACACGTTCTGTTGTGGTTTTCGCACGGAGAATAACCACTGCACATTGCGTTTACCATAAGCGAGGAACATCGGCTTAGACCGATTGACGAAGCAGCCTGGCATAGTAGAAAGCAAGCGGCTGGCATCCCCTTCAATGCGCAAGGGCTTTTGAGCTGCTCAGCAGTCCACCCACCCACTAAGAGCTTTCGGGCGGTGGATCGTCATGTCACCAAACATTTCCTGGAGAGAGGTTAGGACGGGTAGGAGGTCATGCTTTGTTAAGCAAAGGTATGTGTCTTCCTTTTGTGCTGCGCAGGCGTGCTTGCACTCTAAAATCCTAGTCTGAAATGCGGATGCTGCGGATCCACTGTCTAGTTTAAAATTGTGCTTTTTGATTTGGTCTTTGCTGCTGGGCCCAGCGTCTGCACGCGCACGTCGAACCTTGCTACTGCAATGGTGCGAGTTGAGCATCTCGAGACCCTCACTGCGGAGGGTCTAAAAGTCCAAAACGATACATCTCTGCTCTCTCAACTAACCTTCCATGGCCGACATTGCGCAACGGAAGAAAAATCGAGTGGCTGTGGTGCCTCCGCCCGGGACCAACACACCACAGAAAGCTTGACAGTTCTGCTACATTACCAGCTTGAGGACGGACGGCCACGAGCAGATTCCCTAACATTATGTTGATCTTTCCACTCACAGGCAAGAGCATGCTAGATTCAGAAAATCTGGGCTAACTCTTTCACTCAGCTCAAGCCGGCTCGCATCGGTAGATATGTAAACAGGGCTCCAAGTGCACTATACAATTTGACTCCGCTTTGGACTCTGGACATCTATGTGTCGCGGTGGCAGAAAGAGCAAGCAGAATATCTGTTGCCACCTTGTGCGTAGACACATGTCTGGCGATGGAGCTTTCGTCCGCCCTTGGTAATCCAGACATCTGAGCGGTGCGCAGCATCAGTCGATGAGGAAGCTCTCGCAGAAGACGAAGAGGAAGCCGCCTGAAGAAGTAGTTCATCTTGTAGTCGATCGATACGACCCTTCTGTTCATAGGCGCGCTCCCTTGCTTGACGAAGCTCGTAGGTAAGTGACTTGTTGTGTTCACGAAGTTTGAGGTTGTCACCTTCCAGGCCGGCCACGTACAACAGCGTAGACTTGTCCTTCTCGATGTTGTCCTCCTCTGTCCATGTCTGTTGATCAACGGTTGACGAGGTCGTTGAGGCTGTAGGCGTAGAGCGGGACCACCATTTGTCGAAGAGGATGCCGACTGAGGAGAAAGCAGCAGCAATCAACAGCAAAAGAAGTACAAGTAGTACATCTGCCATGGCAGTAGATGATGTGGACGATGTCGTAGTGCTTTGAGCCGTCGCCGGAGTCATCATCATGATGGTAAAACCAAAGCTGTACCAACGCTTGGAGAGTGCGAAGAGGGCGGCAGGTGAAGTCCATGATCGACCTTGACGTAGAGCCGAGTCGCCCTCTATCAAGTCCTGTTCGGACACATCCGAAGTAGGTGGTGGCAATCTCTTCATCTCCAAAGGGTGACCAGTGTTCCAAAAGCGCACGCAGCCTGAGGTAAGCCAACTCATAAGACACGGGCTCACCATGGTCTTCGTTAAAGCGTCCGCGGTCATGCATTCAGTGGGAGTGAGGATAAGCCACCGTACACGACCTTGTGCTCGAGCTTCGCGATGAGCCATGATGTACAATCGTTGACTCTTATCCTGGGGCAACGTCCTGGTACCTGTTGCAAGCTCATAGAAATCCCGGCAGTCCGTGTGAGCATCGACGGGAAAGTAGACGCTGCCACGCTCCTGTATATCAAGGAGCTGCTTCAGACTGGGCCTCGTTGGACCGAAGGTAATCTCAGCCAGCCTGGTACTCACCAACGTAGCACACTCCAGTCCATTGATAGCCGCGAGGGTCTCGCCGTGACTCGTGCTATAGCTCACTCTCTTGGCCTTGTTGGACTGCATGTGGAGAAGCTGAGCAATGCCGCTGAGCTTGTACTTGGCAAAGTCATCGTTCGCGGTCAAGTGCTCGGCCGCAATGTCAATGGTGTCCTGCATAAGAAACACAAGGACACCCTCCTGTGCATAGTTCTTGGTGGAGGTAGCGGCTGAGGCGTCGTGAATGACAACGATGCGGTACTTCGTGGGCTGCAAAGCCCTGTAATAGATCGCCGCCTCCTTATCAGCCTTGGCCCTGGCAATCAACTCATTGGCATCCTTCAAGTGACGGACTTTGGCCTTGTTCATGTACGACTGCAACGTGCTCAGCTCAGCAAGAACATCCGGGCGAGTCAGCGAGGTCCACATCAGGCCTCCAATGAGGGACCTGAGAGTCGTCGTCTCTGTAGCGGTGAGGTCGCGGTTGTCATCATCCTTGATGTCGACCTCAGCAGGCTGGAGCATTGAGACATACTCCGACTGGTCCACCTTGAAACCGTCCTTGATGCTGCTGTAACGGCATCCACAGTGCATGAACGGAAGTTTCTGCCTCGTGAGCTTGCCGAACTTCTGAAGCATCCGGTTGTAGGTTTCATCCAGCCACTTGCGTTTGCCACGAACAGCGAGGTCGTCCACATGGGTGGAAAGGCTTGCGACAGGCCATTGGCCCGGCTGCTTGGCTGGCCAGTAGTAAAAGCACTCGTCGAAGTGTGATGGCACTCCTCCTAGTTCCCGAAGGTACTGGTGGAGAAATAATTGCCACGCTAGTGGAGCTTCTGACAGTCCATACACTGGTTTGAGACAAAGTAGCGCGTAGAGGTGCCACTGGTCCTCAGGAATGTCGAAGAGCTTCGACAGTTTCTTGAGGTGCCGCCACACGTTCATTGGCGGTGTGATGGCAACCAATCTCTCAACAGTATGCAAGCCAAGCTTCTTGAGATGCTTCCAGAGGTCCTGGTAGGTCAGACCCTTTAGGAAAGCACCTGCGATGTCCCAAGACTCTGCATCGTCGCCGTTGTTCGCGGCCGTGCTGAGGATTAGCCTTTGTGACAGTCTAGTGGCTGTCGCTGACCTGTTGTTCAGCTCGTCCTTCCATGGATCGTGGCACCCACGCACGCACATACGGCTTTTGACAGCACGTTGTCCAGATGCAAGCTTCTTCCACTTTCTGACCCAAATGCCATCAATAAGGGCACAGTTGGACTCGAGCTCGGACTTTAAAACTGGCTTAAAGGCCTTCTCGTCGACGAACTGAGAAATCTCCTTGAAGTCGGCCTCTTCGACCTTGTCCCAAATGTCGAACACCTGATGTTCTTCAATGCTGTCGGTGGACGTATCAACCTTGAAGATGTTGCCGTTGAGCAAGTCTGCATGCCATCCAGGTGAGCGCATACTGAAGAGGGCCTGGTTCGTAGCAGCGGGTGCAGGAGGATGATCATCTTGGAGTTCCTCCGCGCCAGGGATGCGACACTTCCATTGACGTTGGTGCATCTCCCAGAAGACCTCATGCATGAACTCCGACTTGGCCATGTGTTGTACCCGCTGCTTCTTCGACTCGGGACCCAAAACAACTGTGCGAGTTTCCGGGCCGTCTCGCTTCTGTCCTTGCGGTTCAGGATCTTGCGGTTGTGGTGGATCAGGTAGAGGAACCACAGGTGACTCCTCCATTGGAGTTCCCCTGGGCAGCCACGT